CCATCCTTATCTTCCTATAACTTTATGTATATCAACTCATATATCACGTTGTATCATAATTATATATTTGCCTGTTTTTTGAAGCAAGGACTATACATTTCCTGTAGGTAGTTGGTACTTTATGACTCTTTTGTGAATTAATAAATGAATTAAGATGGCAAAGATTTGGAATTTTGCCCAGAAAAAGTTTTTTATTTTTTGGTCAGTAGAATAATTAGAAAACTTTGGCTTTTCTATGAATTTTTTTTTTTTAAATAGCAATCCTGACTTACATATGATGGAAGGAAAGAAAAATGAAGATGAAAAACGGACCTCAAAATTTTCTGTGATTGCACCAACGTTGGACCAGGCCGATTCGCTAACTGGTGGTCCACTGCAAGTGAATGGTGACAACGACTTAGGTAGAATAGATCAGGATGATGGAAGGTAAGGTCTATACCTCATCTAGTTTTCTGTGAAGGAATGTTAACAGTGATTACTTTTTTTTGGAAATAAACCAGGATATTATAATCTGCAGGCCACAGCAGGAGGTCCTCAACTCTATCATTGCTGGTGAGAGATTGATTAAGATGAGTATAAGTGATTTTAAGAAGGAGCAGTTTTTTAGGGATACCTGTAGTATTTCAAGAAGATGAAACATGGAAGGTAAGGTCTATACCTCATCTAGTTTTCTGTGAAGGAATGTTAACAGTGATTGCCTTTTTTTGGAAATAAACCAGGATATTACAATCTGCAGGCCACAGCAGGAGGTCCTCAACTCTATCACTGCTGGTGAGAGATTGATGAAGATGAGGATAAGTGATTTTAAGAAGGAGCAGTTTTTTAGGGATACCTGTAGTATTTCAAGAAGATGAAATTTTATTTCTAATGAATTTATAAACTTATGTATAAACTTCTTTTTAGTTAGTTAACTCTCAATTATCTGTTCTGAGGAGTAATTATAACTAATTATTTGTGAGAAAAAGTTAATTTTGAACTTGTAACTTCACTGAATGATTTCAAAAATAATTTCTCATAATATTTCCCAGAGTTACTAATAACAGAAACTTACCAATTGACAGCATGTTCTTTCATTGCTCCCTTTTAAGTGTTTCTGCCCTTTGGAAGGTATTAAAGTGAAACTTTAAATGTATGAGAACTAGAAAGGAAAAATATTCAAAAACATAGAAATCTTATAAGGATAATAAACCAACATATGAGGAGCCAGATCGCAAGATGAACTCATTTTAAGACAAATTTTAATATAACTATGTTTAACTACAGATTTGCCTTAAAACAAGAAAAAGAAAAGACTACAGATGCTGACATGCTGTGTGACGAGCTTACAGAACCGTTACAGAGAACAGAAGAGTGGCCCAGTGCAGACGCCACAGTGAGACAACGACTCGAAATGACTCTGAGGACCCGAGATGCGGAACTGAGGCCTGCCAGAGACAATCTGAATCAGGTAAATTAATCCGTGATAAAAATTTTTATGTTTAATTTTATTTCTTCAGTATTACTTATAACATTTGTTTATTTTGATATATATTGTTTAAGTTTAAAATAAACCAAAAATATTATATTACTGTAAAAATGGTCTGTGACTATTTATTGTAAAACTATTTATTATAGATCTTGGCATCTAATAGATGCTCAGTATATGTTTTCCGAAGTAATGAAAGGTAAGTTGAGTTCAATCACTAACGTAAATGCTAATTTAGGCATTTTTATGTTAAAATTCAGGCTAAATAACTTTGAAAGTATAATGAAACTAGTTAAATGTTTTATAAAGAAACTTTATTTCACAATACTCTGCTTTTTTTAAAGCACTGTTTTTATTCTGACAAATTTAGGTGTCATTTATGCCATTGAAATTTGAGTAACCTGTGTGAGGTGAAAGTCCTCATGTTTAATAGGCTATTTCCTTTCAACAGTTTTTTAAAAGGTTCTGATCTTAATCAAGCTTTTAGAATTTTTTTCCACATGGGTATCAGACCAAAAACTTACTGAAGTATCCCTCCAGTTTGTAGAAGCACAAAATGCCATCCAGAGGCCACTTTCTCGAGAGCAGAATGCCAGGGTCTTACGAGATGGGATAGTGACCTGGCACCTGTGCAAAAACCAAGAGGAGCTAGAAATGGCTCAAAAGAAAATGAATGATGAGGCATTTTCTTCAGTAGTTTTCAAATATGTGTGTGTACATGTTTGTATGTGTATGTATTTAAAACCGATTGTATGCATCATGGAAAGTATAGAGGATTTTTAAATCGTATATGCATATATATATATATATATATATATATTCTGGGAGTGGGGGTGGGGGCTGCATTTTTGGCTCATTGAATAAAGTAGTGTCCTTAAGTCAACTCTATTTGTCTGCCACAGTCAAGTAGTGACATTCGCAGTGGCCTTATCCAAAGGAAAGGCTCTAAATAATTTCCATAGAAATTGATAATCCTTTCATACCTAGAAACCCTTGCTACTAACAAGAGATGATCTAATTTTGAGCAGCCAGTTCACCCCCTTGATTCATTAATGGAGAGGTTAGTTTATTGCTTCCACTCATAGGGAAGGAGGACAAGTATAGTCAGTGCAGAGACCATATTTTGAATGTCATTCTCCTCACTTTTGAGAAGAGTAACAGTTTGCTCCAAGTGGTATCCTATTTCAGCACAAAGAGCTTTTGAAAACAATGATATGCCGTTATACGTACTTAGTGATGATTGATAATTCTTTGATTTCTAGTAAGGTAGTTCAGTGTAATTTCCCTTATTTCACATTGATTACTATTTCAAACGTGAAGAGAAAACAAAAATTATTGCATCAGCAAATAAACTTCTGGTTTTCTAAGAAGAGCTCTATAAATGTTACCTTATTTACCATTACTGTTTTGAAATCTAAGGCCTCTTCTGTATTTATTTAATTGCACTGTGGAAGTAACTGTGGTTTGGTGGAAGCCCTACAAGAAGAGTCAGACAACCTGGAGAAAACCCTGCAGCTTAACATTGTTAACTTCTCAGAATTATGATAACTAAATGAGTTCATTGATGTATTTAGAAGTGCTTAGTACAATGACTAGATTTATCACTTATCAATGAATGTGATTCTAATGACTGATTGTATAAGGGTATTTCAAAATGTCATGGAAAAAGAGCATTTGAAGATAATGTGAATCTTTCCATGTACTTTTTGAAGCACCCTCATGTATATATTTGCATTTGTGTGTGTGTGTGTATCTGACTAGATATCAAAGTGTAAATCCCAATTTTTAATGTGGTCAAATCAATTAATCTTTCATGTCTTTAGGTTTGTTATAATTCAGAAAAAGGCTTTTTAACTCTGAGATTCTTAAAAATTCTCTCATGGGTTCTTTTCTACGTCCATGGCTTCATTATGTTCAGTTAAAGTTTTGAACTTTTGGGATTTTATGCTTCTATAAATAAGTTTTGAGGTTTGGACCCAACTTTTCTTCCAGTTGGTTATCCACTTATTGCAACTCTTTCATCCTACAAATATACAGGTTATTTTTTAATTTCAGGGAAAATCACAATATGTCATTTTATTTGGTGCTAGCTGAACATCTCCTTTGTTTTCTCAGGTTTATGATAGTCATAAAAAAGATCTGTTGCATAAAAATCACACGTTGCAGGATGAAATTCCCATGCTAAGACTGGAATTAGACACAATTAAAAGTCAGTACCGGGAGAAGGAAAAGAAATATTGCAAGGACATTGAAATTGTAGAAGAAAAGAATGAAGACCTTCAAAAGACAGTAAAATGGGAGAGGGAAACATCCACAATAACAATGTTCCAGTGTAGTGGACAGCTGAGTGTTCTGACAGCTGAGAACACAATGCTAAATTCTAAACTGGAGGATGAAAACCAAAACAAGGAAAGGCTGGAAACAGAAGTTGAACCATGCAATTCTAGACGGGTTGCTGCTATACAGGATCATGATCAAAGGCAGGCATCTGAAAGGGATCTAGACCTTGCTTTCCAGAGAGTAAGACGTAAGTGGTTATATTTACAGGAACAAGTGAATTTTGACATGTCTGTCATAGAAGATCAGACTGAATTTCTTTCTCAAAAACTTTATGAAGCTGAAAATAATAATAATAGCCTAGAAATTGAGCTCTGTCACACAAGAGATGCTCTCAGAGAAGTGACTTTGGTCTTAGGATGTGTGCAAAGAGATCTAAGCCAAACAAAGTGTCAAATGAAGGAAATTGAACACTTGTATCAAAACAAACAAGGCAAAGTGAATAAACGCATTGGAGAGCAGGAATCTGTAGAGGAGAGATTATCTCAACTGCAACATGAAAATAGTTTTCTTCCACAGCAACTGGATGATGCTCACAACAAAGCTGATCATGAAGCAGAGATAGTAGTCCAGTGCCAGTGTTGTGATACTGTAAGAACACTTCAAGTTCAGAGTAAAAAGCCCAGTCTTGTACTAGAAGACGGAAACAAGGAGCTCATCAATGAATGTAACCACTTAAAAGGAAAGCTGCATCAGCATGGAGATGAGAACGTAGAAAGAGAAGTAAGTATGAAGAGAGAGACATATTTTTCAAACTTCCTGAAAGTAAATCCAAAGTCATATTTGATTATGGCTAAATGCTGAATCTAACTGAATATGAAAAAGAATAGATTATAAACATATTTGCTATATCAGCTTAGAAACATTCCTTGTTTCCAACAAGTAAAAATTAGACCTGAGGGATGCTTTACTTTGAGTAAAGATATTGGTCTCCTATAAAATGTTGTAAGATTAAGTCACAAATTGCTAATAGATATAGACTGATGTTAGTAATGAAATCTTAACCTGCTCTAAATAATTTTAATGTCTTTTTGTTGTCATATTTTAATACCATGATGAAGCAGATAAATAGAAATGCCTTTACCTAAAATGAATATTTTGAAATGAAGATTCAACTGAGTGGGTTACCTTGACTGTTCATTCCAAATTTCCCAGATGAACTGAAGTGTAGATTCTGTGTCTCATAATACTTTTCCTTCAGTGGCTTTTGATATATTTTTAGTTGATACAATCTTATTTTTATCATGTCAATTTGACTTAAATCTGGAAATATTGTAGTCTCCAATTTGATATTCTTAGGACCTCTGAATTCTTTAAGAGTATCTACTTTTCATTAAGTCATAATTTGGGACCAATGTGGTGAATTTTAGCAAGACCATGTTTGATTTAATCTTCCCACAGGTATTTATAATTTACTTTTAACATTTTAAAAAAGAATTTGCTCATTATTTTCATTTCGATTACTATCAAATCCAATTACTATCACTTGGATATAACTTTGTCCCAGTACAAAGATAATTGCAGATAGATAATCTGTGATGTATTATTTTTGGCATTGGATCCCCATTTTCAGACTCCTGAGGGTTGGTGGGATTCATGCGTAGTAGGAATAGAAGTGAGTAAGGGGGAGAGTTGTAGGAGCTGAGGTCAGGAAGGGAGATAAGGGCCGGGTTACCCTAAGGTCTTAAAAACTATCAGGATTTCACTTGTATTCTGAGATAAAAGTCTATTGGAAGGGTTTGGGTAGAGGATGGAATATGTGAGGAACTCTGAAGTTGATTTGAGCCTCTAATAAAAAAGAGGGACAATGTTCCACATTGTAGAATTTACCATCACCAGTCCCACCCACATAGCCGTTTCTTTCCGAGATTTCAGTAGATTATGAAGCATTGCAGATTCGCACATGACAAACAGATATTTGAATCCAGTAAGACCTGGTGTCTTTACATTTAAGAGTCTTTATTTAGCTTCTCTCACATCTGCTTTACTTTTGGCCTCTTTGTTGTAAAAGTTGCTTTCCTCCAGGCATCAGTATCATTTTCTTCATTGGCATTGAAACCGTTCTTAGCCTCTGCCAGGGCCATCAGGCTCCCACAAGCAGTCCTTTTGAAGCCCTTTTGATTTTCATTCTTACTGTTCTCTAGGTCCTTTCAGCTTCTACCCACTTCTGGCCCAAAGGCCTCCTACATGTTTCATTTTCTGCCAGGGCCATCAGGCTCCCACAAGCAGTCCTTTTGAAGCCCTTTTGATTTTCATTCTTACCGTTCTCTAGGTCCTTTCAGCTTCTACCCACTTCTGGCCCAAAGGCCTCCTACATGTTTCATTTGTGTTTTGGCAGGGGCGGGGGTGTTTGTTTTTTGGTTTTTTTAATGGCAGCATGCCATTTTTAGTATTAGTATCTGTGCCCATTATTTATTGCTGGACAGTATACTACCTCCAAATTGAGTGTCTCCAAACATTTGTATTATTCAGAAACCTGCAGTATAGGCTAGGCTGAGTGGAGTCATCTTATTTCTTGTCCATTTGGCATCAGCTGGGGTGACTTGCAGCTGGGAACTAGAATCTTCCAGTGGCTTCTTTGTTCACAGTTGTTCATAGGCAGTTCAAGCTCACTTTTGGCTGGGACTTTATCTGTGGCACTTAGCTGGAGCACTTATGTGAGGGTTCATCTTGTGGCCTGGGCTTCCTCACGGTATGGTGGCTGGGTACTAAGGCAAGCTTCAGTAGAGAGGGAGAGTGATGTGGACACCATCGCATTTTCTAACTTTGCCATGTAAGTCTCACAGCACTTACACCATATTCTATTCACTAGAAACCAGTTACTAAGGTCATAGAAAGCACATGTTCAGGAGAGGGAATTTCATGGTAGATATGTCAAAGATTTTATAGACATGTTTTAAAACCATGATTCCACTGAACTTTTCTTAATCATTACATTTAAAGGAACATAGTTCTCACTAACTCAGTACCACTGACATTGCAGCAAGTTGTTTAGTATGCTCCCTTATTTTGTGGCATGTGGCAAAGGATTACAAAGTGGTGCTAATTGAATTAAAGCATGTTTGTTCCAAGAAACCTGTGGATCACGTCCCAAAATATTATACCAAGGCATATATTTGGTACTTAACCTTCAGAATTATTGTGTAATCCTCAAATTAGCATAAGACATTTGCAGTTCAGAAAATGGCTTATGGTATTAGAACTTATTTTTACAAGTTTTGCTAATTTGAGTCTCATTTTCAAAGTCTCATCCTGGGAATCATTTTTTGACTCAGGCATAAATAGCTCAATATAATGTCCCTAAAACTTCTTTAGTAATTATGGGGAGTAAAAAGGGGGGGGGGTAGGGATAAAAGACTTTCTACTAAGAGATGATTTAGAATCATTTTAAGGAAGAAATGCATGAAATATTCACAGAAAAATAAGTGTATGATGAAGCGCAAATGGTTAAATGCATGAAATATTCACAGAAAAATAAGTGTATGATGAAGCACAAATGGTTGGAAAACACGATGAGGGTAAGGAATGTGTTTGCACAGCTTCTGATGGTTTTAACTTGGTTCTTGATTTTCTGAGTAATTCAACGCGCACATTCCAGGAATCTATTTACATATAGAGAACATTTCTTTTCTTTTTTTTTTTTTTTTTTCCTTTTTGTCTTTTTTCGTGACCGGC